ATCTTGTCCATTCGACCTTCAATTTCTAAGAATTAGTACAACGTATCCAATTCTTATTTTTAAAAATAAATTTGTAAATGTTTTCGGAAATAAACAATGATTTTAGTTTTCCATAAATTAACTTTACTAAATTTTAAATATCCTTTAATACGCAACGAAAAATGCGCGAAATCATCACTTTTAAATGTAAGCGCCATTTATGAATATTTAGTACTTTTATGGAATTAACTTTATAATTTAAACAGTTATTTTAAAAATATAGAAAATTCTTTAAAAAGTACAATAAAAAAATATAGAATGATAGAGGATTTCAATTGAATGTTGTGCAAAATTTATAGATAAATTTGTTAAATAAATATTATAATAAAATGCGTATATAATAAAAATACATCTACACATAATAAACTTGTAATTAGAATTTCAAAATTTAGATTAACACATTTCTTAGTGTGAGTTCATATTATCATCACGTTTCATAATCGTGTAATGAACGTACAAAATGTCAAATGCGTTACTGAGAAAAATAATTCATATAGAATATAAAATTAATGTTTCTATAGTAACAAGTAATGCCTAATTTCTCTTGGTTTANACACATTTCTCAGTATCACTTTAAAGTTTTCCTTAGTACAATTACATAACCATATAAATGTACGTACAAAATGAGAATTGTGTCACTGTGACAAATAATTTATATAATATATAAAATTTATGCCTCTATAATAATAAATAATGCCGAATTTCTCTTGGCTTTTAAAAGGGTGGGTTGTGTTTAACATATGAACCTGCATTAATGCTACTATATTAACTAATAATGTCGTAACTACCTCCAGTTGTTTATGAATGAGGTGAGTTGAGGCGCTAACCTACCTCCCAGAAGAAAAAAATCGCATTCATACAATGTAAAAGCCCCAAACATTTTTCGAATGTTAGAGTGTCACGGATATTTCGGGTTTGGGGATATTTCGGATATTTCGGATAGACACACCAATAGGGCCTGTACATTTGGTTCCTTCTCGGTGAGAAGGAACCAAACGTACAGGCCCTATTGGTGTGTCTATCGAACCCGTGATTTATATGAATAAAAGGACTTTGCACCTGTAGGACAACAACAGCCAAAACATAAAATCTATTGACAATTAAAAAAACAACTCGTGCGTTTAATTAATTCTCTACTAATTCAAAATAATGAAACCCATTACTATAAATAAAGATCAAAAGAGACAGAGTCCACTGTAATAAATATAGCTCGAACTTAACATGATACTGCAATAAATTTAAATTCAAAATGATTATTTAAAATTTAAATATTTCTGGTCGTTTTGAAATAAAACTTTAAAATTAGATTTCATTTTACGAATGAGAGAGCCTCCCCGTGTAAGTCTTTCTTCAAGCTTTATGATTTTACGATCAAGTTGAGAGTGTTGTTTAGTACAGCAGACACTCAACCACCGCTACAGAATAGTCTCTAAAATATTATGAAAGTAAGTGATGTTAAAAGTTTATATATATTATTTTAATTTATTTAAATATTCGGTATGATCCCGATGCAGATTCACTTGAATTAATGAGGTTAAACGACGGTACGCTGTAATAAATCACTCAGATATCTTTATCACTGTATATTTGAAAGTATACGAGTATTTCTCTGTATACTTGTGTCTATTTGAAATAGTACGCAATGATCTTTTTAAATCAAATCAACTCATTTGTATTAATAAACAATTAACAGTTAATAGGCTCCAAGATATCAGTTATGTTCACTTCAAATTATTTATGAAATATTACAAAATTTCTACATTTTCTGAAGTATCTAACTGTAATAATTCAATTAATACCTTTCATTAGTTAAAGATCTTACTACTGCTTAGCAATTACTTATTATTTAAATATATAGACCTGTTTAAGGAAAATTTTAGTCGTTTTACCATCTTTATTTTAAAAAATGTCATTTTTAAAAAATAATCTGCAACGTTTGGGATTAATGGGCACAAAACCGCATCACATATGCCAATAAGAAATTGTAAGGTCGCCGAAAGGAGGGAAATGGCGATGAGGGTCGAGGGGTCGCTAAAAAGGTCGAATGTGGGCGATCGGCACTGTTGAGACAGACTTTACTGTTACAAGAAACCGTTAATTTGACACGAATGGAACTTACAAGATCTAAGACATTTTCGCCATCTTGGAAGTTCTAAGTCTGCAGCTGCCTCTATGTCTTTCGATTCTTCCAAAGATAGTCCCAAATGAAGGAGTGTGCCCGGTTGACGAATGACAGTTTCCTCGAGGACTCGAAGACTCTGGAACGATGCAGTCGACTTTTGGTCATGGGAAGACGTCGTTCGAGGACAGTAGACAGAAACGACGGCGAACACGAGACACACAACAATTAGTCCTACACTTGGAATTTTTGGGGTTTTATTAATTTTTGTTTTCGATTGCTTATTCCGATTAGTCGTTTTTTCTTTTCGTTTTCGCTTTCCAAGTGGGTGATGACTCGTTACTATGTGCAACGAAATTTCAACTTACATCGCGGGAGAGATCAAAATCGAAGTTTAATTCGATCTCCAAGTGAACAATCGATTTTAAAACTTACATTTTTCTATTGGTTTAAAAGTTCGCGTTTTCAAACAAAAAATTATTTTTAGCTTTCATTTATTTTCTTCCAAAATAAAGTAGAAAAACATATATTAAACACAACGCATAAAACTTCTAAAGCTAGAATGAATCACTTGTCGCAAGTTCGCGACAAGTGATTGATTCTAGCTTTAGAATTCGCGAAAAACAGCGTGCAGTGGTCAATTGACTACAGGTCAAAATATAATCTGAAATATAAGCATAAAATAATTCATTATTACAGTTCTTTTTAATATGTAATAATATTTCTTAATATTAATTTAAATAACTGATATTAACTTATTTATATTTTAACATTGCAAATATATTTTTATTATAATTACTAATTTTAATTTCCTTTAAATACATACAGATAAATTTGCATTAAAATAATAAATGAAATTTAATGTTTTAAATAAATTTACTAATGTATATTTGTTATATTGCAGAATAGCATTTTGCTTTAATATTTCACTCCTGATGATATGTTGGAAATTATTCGTGTAAAATTTATATTTTATAGCATTGTTAAACATCAATGAATAATTCAAATTAATCGTAATAATAACACAAAGATCTTAACATTACATTGAGTCAAAAAAGAGGAAGAAGAATTAAGAAGTTCTAACTGGAATTTATTTAATTTTTTAAAGTAAATCAATCTCACAAAATAAAGAAAACGTTTCAAAGTATTCACACATAAATTATAGAATTTAAAATAGAGCAACTATTCATCTTGTAAAATAAATATGCAACATAAAGGTAAGAATTTTTAAAAAAGTAACTTATAAGAAATTTTAGTTGAACTTTTTATAATAAAAATTTACAATTACAATTCATTTCCTGGCTTCTAAGAGTGTTGTATTTCGTACAGAACCGGAAAATTACATGTACTGTACTTTGTCATTAATTAGCCCATTCTATGTGGTTTCATTTGATTTCCATTACATTTGAAATTTCGAACAAAAAAATATATATTCCGTAAGGCATTTCTTTGAGTGTTTCTGTTCTGACTGCACTTAGAGAATTTTTTTTAAGTAGTCGCGCCATGAAACAGTCAAGTAAACTGGGACTATAACAACAAACTATAACGTAACAAACTTGACTTATTCCGAAATCGTGTCTTTTTTTCGTTATTTTCTACTCACCACTGAGTGCATAGGAAGTAGATATTGGACATCTTTAACATCACTTTTTACTCACCGATACCGTTTCGAGCATACGCCCCTCTTCTGTCAGTTACATAATAAAATATAAACACGTATTTTCCATATTACGAAATTTTTTATATAATGGTAAATTACAACAAACCTTTCTCTTTAACTCATTTAGTAAAGTGGTGTTAACTAATACACATCCTTTTCCAAAGCTTAGGATTAAAAATCGTTCTTCCGGTTTTCTGCAAAGACTGATTTTTAATCCTAATTTCATTTCTGAAATGATTAATTAATTTACATATCCTTTACTGCGCCTACTGGGAATGGCATATTACCTACTGTTCTTCATGACTCTCAAACAACTTACACTTTAACTGCAGCGTGATATATTCGTCTTGCTAAGTGATCTATTAGATTATCTTTCCACGTATATCATGGCTAATAATTAATTAAATACAGCTTTGTATTTAATAAAACATAATTTTTTAAAAGGTCGTGCATTGACGTTCTAGATTTGGCTTGGATATCTTTTTGTTATTTTGTGCATCCAGTAGAGATCGGTATATTCGAACCTTCGTTAAAACTGATACGATTTTGCTTAAAACCAGTGTGCTACATGCTACTCGTATTCTGTATTAGTCGAAACGATCCAAGTAGTTTGTTTCCTAGAACTAGTTTACATGAAGATAAGTTTTCAAGGAGTAATTACAAGGACTAGTTACTCTACCTAGATTCTTGTCTAGTTCATAACAATTCAGTTTATAAATAATACCCAAATTTTATAGTTATTACTCGTTATATTTCACGATAAGGATTCAATTTGGCCAATCAGCGATTTCTTGAACGATAAAAAACGCATACAATATTGTATAAAAAATACGCACGGATGGTTTACAATACAAGTGAACCTTGAGAAAATATAAGAGAGATGTGGCCTCCGATCCGAAATACATTTCAATAACAGATAGTTTTAGAGGTTGCTTATGTGATTTTAGTTTTCTAAAGACGGATATAACTAAAGTTATGTGAGAAAAATTGTTAACTCTTTAGTTGCTTTAGTTACCAATAATAAGGCAGCCTGTCATAATTATTTTTAACAGATTTAACTAAATTAAATAATCATTATCATTTAACAATAAAAATTAAAACATTTTATAAAACATTTTCATTTCAGTTTATGTTCCCGCTCGTTACGTATTGGTAATTTCTATATTTTGGATATATACAATAATGAACTGCCAAAGATCTGTGCTGAGTGTGGCTATTTTAGCCATGCTTAATCGTTCAGCCATTTTCAGCATGTATAATACAACAACTTCAAAGGAATGCCCAGAACAGACTCAGCAAAATTCTACATCTACTTACGAAGAGGTAAGTGTTTATGTCGAATGTAATAATTCTGTTGTAACAAATTTCAAAGACTATTATTTTCTACATGTAATATTATTAATAACTTTGATTATTATTACTTTCTAACTATTTTCATGACTCACGTGATAAATTTAACAGTTGATTTATTTTTCTTAACAACTCATACAAAATCGCCAATTTTAAAAATTGAAATTTGACCAAATTTCAACTTAATCATCCACCAAAAGTACACAAATTATTCTGACTCTCATTTGATGTCTCAATTTATTCTAAAAATCTTTAAAAGCATTCAAATTACGTCTGTATGATGGCCGGTCAATAAGAAAATATTTAATCATTTAAATCAGTTTTACTGACATTAGTGGTTCGGGCAAAAATGTTATCATGTAGAAACAGAAAGATGCATGTTCCAAATTATTACGTCAAAACAAGAAGCACAAAATCATCCATAATATTGTTATAAACCATAAAATTGAAGTTTTGTTTCAGAGAAACGATTTGAAATAAAGCCTTATACAATTGTCATCATATCAGCTGTTATTATAAATACTTTTAATAATATAACATATATTTTTATCACATTTAGTTTTTGACATCATATCATAATAAACAGCTCATAGACATTCTCTTAGACCTCGTGTCAGAAAATTCTGGTTTATTTGAACAACCCGAATTTTATTTTAAGTGCCCCTAAAGTGGCTTGGTATGGTTAATTTCTATATGGCAATGAGACTGGTTAACAATCTCACAAAGGAGATTGTTGACGGGAGGACTTTCTGGGGGGAAATAGACCCTATTCGATAGTACAAATGTGGTGAAAACTCTGGAAGCTCCCCAAGGCCAGCTCGTTGGCAAAATCCGATCCAACGATTAGCTACCATTGTTCACTACTACTACTACTACTACTACTAATACTACTACTACTACAGGTAAAGTTAGTTGTCCGTCCTACGGGACTTAGCCAGTCAGATAAAAGAAAGAAGGGAAATTTAGGGTACGGATAGAGGATGAAGGAGTTGGATAGGGGAGGAAGGTGGAATGAATATGGGAAGAGTGGAAGGAAAGGAGTGGTTTGGGATCCGAAATTTGACTTCCATCGTAATTATTTACAAATAACAGCTTTACAAGGTATTAATTACAGCGTGCCTTTTGGCAAGATGAGTACACTCGATGATACAGAACATTACGCGCCAGTGGTATATGACTACAGACTGACAAAAACACTATACAATTTGCAGCAACCCTAAAGCATACAACAACTTATATTGACATGTTAACAGTAGGTGTTTATGATGATACCAGTCCACCAATACTGACACGTTTAGTACTATCATCGACGGTAACGAAACAGATCACAAACCGTGCCTTGCTTTCCCTGGAGATAGGATGATCATAAGAATTCACTAGAAAACACACTGTTGTACTGTAATTCCAGATAAAACGTTGCCATGAATACACAGTACTAAGTTCCAGTGTTGTCCATTGAGCCAGATGGTTCTGAGTTGACATAGGTTGAAAAGATTTCAAGTGTTCACAAATTTGGGGAATTTCTCAAAAGTCTCTCGGTCTTCACAAAGGGTGTTGAGATCATGGGCCAACTTTGGCCCTTGTCCCTCGTACACGCTTTTCGATTGGTCTCATATCTGTTTTCAACGATAAATCAGGATCAACACGGACCATGGAAAAGTTGCTCAAATCGTTAAAAATTGATTACAAATTTCTTTATAATATAAAATTCTTACTAATCTAACTTTTTAGGGTTATTATGCATGGACACAACCCACTCAAGGAATAATTCTAGGAAGTTATTTCTATGGTTTCGTGTTAGCTCAGCTGACAGGAGGAGCCATTACATTTTCATTTGGACCAAAAAAAATTTTCATAATTTCTTCACTTCTCTCTTCACTGTTTACCATTTTGACACCCGTTTCTGCAGATGTCGGTGTTTCAGTTATATCATTATGTCAAGCTTTCATTGGATTTGCACAAGTAAGAATAAGATTCTTTACTGTCATTGCAAGCCACATTAACTGTATCCTGTTTAAAAATCATTTTATCGCAGGGACTTGTTTTTCACGGATCTTTCACGTTGTTAGGAAGATGGATTCCAAAAAACGAAAAGTCCACATCATCATCAATTTCTTATAGTGGTACTCAAGTCGGTACACTTATTGGTTTAATAACAACAGGATATCTTTGCGGACATAAAGGATGGTCTTTCAGCTTCTACTTTTTTGGTGAATATAAATCATACGATTGTTTCTTCAATGCTAATGTACAACTGTATCTTCTATAATCTGTATTTAACAACAGGAATATGTGGAGTTGTCCTTTCTATATGCCTGACGTTCACAATTTATGACAGACCTCAACAACATCCCAGAATATCTGACAAAGAATTGACATTTCTTAACGACAACGTAACAAACATCTCATCAGAGGAAACGGTAGTATAATTTTCAGCTCTAATTTATTTTCATCGATGTGTCATAAATATGTTTTTACTTAAATTAGAAATTGAATATACCCTGGAAAGAAATTTTAACATCCAGAGCAGTGTGGATAGTAGCTTTGACGAAAATTTGTTGGGGTTTCGGATATTTTACAATATTGACTAAATTTCCATCATACTTAGGTATAATTCATCACATCTCTATCAAGCAGGTATATTGATTTTTATACATATAAATCAATAAATTAATAATATTGCTGTGTCAATAAATTTATTTATATTACTCATGTTTTAGATTGGAATAATGACTGCATTAGTTTTTTCCGGAGACACTATAGCATTATTTACTACGGGTTTCATTGCTGATTTTATAAAATCACGTAAATACTTCAGCATAACTAATATCAGAAAAATCTTTGAAGCAATTGGTAAGAAACTGTAGTTTGTTAATTTTTTTAAATTGTCTTGTAAAATTTCTGACAAATGATGAATAAATATTTGTGTTGTAGCAACGTTCGGCCCGGCAGCATGCATCTTATCGATTTCATTTCTAGGCTGCGAGAGTACAAAAATAATTATTTGTGTAATAATTGGAATGGGATGTTTTGGCTTCGCTGTTTCGGGAGATATTGCAATAGTACTGGATTTGGCTCCGGAATTTGCGGGTAAGTGAACATTGTTTCTTAAGTATAAGACAAAAACAATGTATTTACTCGAATAATCCTCGGATATTATCCAAAAAAGACGTGTGAGAATGTCTGTGGACTGTTAGATGTAAACAAATTAGGTGCCAGAACCGGGTAATCCGGAAAATCGGTCTTGCATTTTGTATTGTTCAATTCGAATGGTGAATGCAAACATATGTTTCTGTTAGAATTAATAATTGTTTGCGGACAGTCAGAATGGATGAAGTTAAAAACATTCTGTATCATTAGAAAACCGATGAAATAATAATCTCTGAAGTATGTTTGTGCATATGATTTTAGAGTTAAAGTTGAAACAGATCCTTATTATTTCTTTTAAACGCAATTTATTAATATTTATAGTAAGATATAGCCATTCCGGGTAGATCAGTACATAGGATAAAGAAGAAAAAAACAGATTTAATCCCGAATGAACACACAATAGATATAAAATACAGCAACGAGTTGCTGAACACACCGGGCAAAATTTAAAACTGCGTGTGGCGCCATCTGTTATGATCATTTATTTTAAAATATTTTATATTACTAGTTATTATAAAATAGCAAAAATCTTAATTTTTAGAGTATTAGGGGTATTATAAAAAATTGTAAACGCTAATAAAGGAAGGGCATCCGTCATTGAGATGAAATATGATATTTAAATAAAGTTTTTTAAATACAACTAACAATTCCAAACAATGAACAAACATTAAAATAGCTGTATAGTATTAATTGGAAGTTTTCGTTTGGTGAATTTATTTCTCTCTCTTTTCTATGTTTGACATTTCCTGTTGTAAGATGGGGCTAGAATGTTGTCTGTGAAAATTGGAAACTTTTAAATTATATTCTGTGATTGATCGATTAATATTTCGTCCAATTATATGTTTGGTCCACGTTCTAATTTCCAACATTTTAAAACTCGAAATCAAAGGGAGCAGAAATTATCTCATTTAGATTGAATTTACTTCTTACGTTTTCAAATACAGTAGAGTACTATGAATGACTCTTATACAATGACTTGAAATTTGAAAAGATATGAAAAGTTTATTATGTTCAGAAATACGAAATCGTATTCTTAATATTGCGTTTAAAAGTTAATTGAATTCACGTGTTGTTCTGGTAATTTCTAGTAAATGTGTTTATATGAAAATATTATACATTATGCATTACAACAACCGATCCTGAACATCTAACATTTTCTCTCCTCAATTCTTATCAACAGCTAAGCTTTTTGCTTTCTATTGTATTTAAGTTAAGATTCGAAACATTTTATTAAACTAAAACCTGCTACGGTATTATTTTTACAATACACTTAAATGAGAAAGATATTTTTGAAGAACTCTGACAAAATTAAAGTTTATGAAAAAAATGTTTAAATTAAAATATGAAATACGTTCGAAAATTTTTCTTTCTACGTTTTTATACACATTGTTAACTTTAATTCTAATTTTATTTAAATATTGTTGTGTTCTCAATTTATTAATTTAAACTTAAATCGTCAACTAGAACATATCTATTATTAGGAGTTATTATACTGGATAACTGGTTTTGCAAATTAAGTAAACATAGTCAGAAAAACAATCTTTATTTATCAGCTGACAGATGTTTTTCTGACTTTTTTATATCCTTAGAACAGGATTCCCTGTTTAATTAATTATGTAAATTAAAGGAAATTAATTTACTTTTTTAACAAAAAATATTTTATACAACAGTTAACAAGATTTTCTCAATCTAAATTATATTTAGGAGTCCTTTTCGGATTGACATATGGTTTATGTAACGCCGCAGGTATACTATCACCATACATTGCTGGAATTATATTAGAGAAACATGTAAGTTAAATGTTATTAAAATTTATATATATAAATTATTATTAAATTGGTTTATTAATTTTTAATTATTCAGCAAGGAGAATTGGTTCAATGGAGCTACGTGTTCTATATGGTCTCTTTCGCTTATTTTCTCAGTGGTGTAATATTTCTGTTCGGAGCTACTGCGGAACTTCAACCCTGGGCTACCATTAATACAGACAAGAAAAAACACGATAATAATTAATTGTCAACATTAGTCCAATCTTTGTAATGATGAAGACTTTGCTCATAAAATCATTAGAATCAAAAGCATGCAGAATTGGTTATCCATGTTATACTACCACCATCCTTGTCATGCCTTTGCTATTAATTTCTTATGCACATGATTCTTCAAAAAGTTATTTTGTCTGATTTTCAATTGCCAAGTCATATTAGAACGCTTATAATAGTTCTTAACATAAAAGCAGAATTCATACTGTAACAAGTTAATCGATTATGTGTTACACTAAATCGATTATAGCTACTGTAAATTATATTTGTTTGGATTTTGAAAAATAAACAGGATACGTCAAGAATATGTCTTTGTTAATATTAAGCAATGTGTTGTTGCAAAATTTTCGTTTCTTTATGCGAAATTCTTTAAATATTCGCGAAACAAAATACTTAAAACTTTTAGAGAATTGCCAAAGAAATGAACGTTTCAACGTAAATCAAGGAAAAAACTTATTCAGCTGGAGACAAAAATTTTTTAAAGAACGTAGGACTTCATGCTCTACCTGTGGCAAAAGAGAAAATAAATCTCTGGCTTCTTTATTTATAAGGTGAAATATGTTTTTCGTTAGAAAAATTGCAACAAATTACATTAAATCAGAAGTTTTAGCTAATTTCTCTCTTACAGAGCGGTGTTTAGATGTTACTCTATTACTACACTTTCTGTTCTTGTAGCAAATAATTTTGCAACTCTCTACTAAATTATAAATAAATTTCTAAAATTAAAATTCTGCGCAAAATATTGTAAATTTAGATATTTAAATATATAATTATACAGTAGACCCCTATAAAGCGGGTTCATATAATGCGGATTCGTATATCGCGGCGAAAAAATTGCGATCGTATTCATATAAAGACGCTAAAAGAGACTAGTAATATATGGTGAATCGTCATCGCGGACTCGTGTCGCGACAGGATTGGTCGAATATGGACCAATAGTGGACGAGCAGCTGAACTACTTACACACTAAGGAGAGTTTAGGCGGGTAAGTCGAGTTTACTATCGTCTGTACAGTATATAAATTAGGTACTGTAAGTCTAATACAGTACTGTAATTCTATACATTTCTTGTGAAAGAAACATTTCTTATTCAACAGCCATAAAATTATTTATATTAATGATGTCTCCAAAGTTCAACGAATTTTTCGCAGAAAAATAACTTATCAGAAAACGTGCCCGCCGTTTGTTGCTCCGCGATGAAAACAAGCTTAAGCAATGGCGTGGTCGAACGGTGCACCCTCGGTAAGTAATCCTACAATTTTTTGTTTATAGCATAGTTTATACGGATTATTCTCAAAAAAATTATACGTGTTTTGGAAATGTTGAGTGAAATTAGTCTAGAATCCATTAATTTTATGAAAGGAAACCTTTCAATCAGCGGTAGTCCTTAAACTGAACACGTGTCGGGCTGTGATTGGCTCTTGTATTTAAGGATTCCAACGCAAAATTCGTATAAAATGGAACGTATTTACCGCGTTATAGGGGGGTCGACTGTACTAGTAAATGACATTGTTTATTTAAAATTGATAAAAAGTTTATATTACACGACACTGATCTTAAATTCCAATTTGAATAACGCATATAAAAAACTTTTGAATTTAATACTGTTTCTATAATACAGGCAGCAAACTTAAATACTAATTTTGTCATCAGGGGCTGTGCCAAATCACCGCAAAAAAAAAAACATAGAGTATGATAAGATCAGTACACATTCGCCAACTTTTCCTTATATACATATGTGTGTACTGCATAGGTTTGTGTATATGTTACCGGCCAAACCCGATTTCAGTCCAGACTAGTGTATCCTATGCGTGTCAGGATATACTAGATTAGCCAAAGACAATCTAGTTTGGCCTAAATGCTATAGGCTTAACTAGTTTGTCCTAGCCGAACTGATTTAGAATTATTATTTAAGTCAGGCCTGGCCAACCCAAGTTGTTTCGCGGGTCACTTTGATCACGCGTAACATTACAATGGGCCACAATTTAGACAAACATGCTTTTAAAAAAGTAAAACAAATACAAAATGAATAAGATTTCATTGTTATACCAAGAGTTCATATTCGCACTTGCGAATTATAACAATGACACATGCAAATTTTCATTTATTTAATTGTTTTGGTATACACAAAACGGAAAACGAAAGTTTTAATAGATATATAATATCGCTTAGCAGGTCACTCAATTTAATGTGACGGGTCTCAGGTTGGCCAGGCCTGATTTAAGTATATTAATGTTTAAAATAAAATTAAAAGGCAATCAATTAGATGAACAATATTTATTCAAACATAGTCTACATAATTATAAAAAACGGTATTGATTAGAAGTGACACAACACTTGTACAAAAGTATAAAATAAAAATAAGCTAATCAGTACTTATCAGTTTGTATTTTTTTATTAAACCATGCACTTTTAAAGGTAATTAACTTTCGAAAATATTTTCAAAAATTCAAACGAAATAATAAAAATAACTTTTAAAGTCAAACTAAAATTAAAAATGAACTTGTTTGTGCTTCATAGTGTAACATATGAAATATTTAATCTTTTATTTATTTTTACAGGGTGGGTTAAAGTGTACCTAGGTAACCCCAATAGTGGCACTTCGGACTGTTCGTGCTCCCAGCAGACTCCTCCCATAGGGAAGCTGCCGGCAGGCCGCCCATTGTTTAACGTCACTAGTTATTGATTCACGGTAGTTCTTGAACAAAAGAAAAAAAAGGAAACGTCTACTAAAAATGTAGTTAATTTAACCAAACCAACCTAACTGAAGCACTGCCTAGACAAACCTACCAACCTACTAAACCAAACCAACCTAACTGAAGCACAGTTACCTAGGTACACTTTAACCACCGAGTGTACTGTGGTGGCATTTCGAATTACACAAAATCATTTTTTTTTACACTGGCACCTATTTGTAGTACATAAATAAGTTCGGCCTAGGTCAAACTAGTTAAGTCTAAAGTATTTAGCCTAAACTAGATTATCGTAGGCTAAACTAGTATATCCTGACATGCGTAGGATAAACAAGTTTTGCCTAGGACAAACTAGTTTGGCCGGTAACATATATATACTCAAACAAAACCTCTAAATAGTAGTATCATTTGTTGCTTCTAAAATTCATAGAAAATGAAATGTGGTGTTAAACTACGCAACTAACACATACGGTATCCAACACATGAACGATCTGTCAAGAGTTATGTTTCTATGAGAAATTGACACTTGTTAGACATTTAAAGAAAACTCGGCAAACTCTACGTAGCAAGTCTGCTGGTTAGGTGAAACCTGTCATCAATGTTCAGTAGTTTAATCTATTATCAAGGTCGGGAAAATTATATTTTTAATAAATTATAAGTAATGAAATTGAACAAAAATTTAATTCTTTAATATTTTTTTAGTCGCGATTCAAATATTCATTTAAATAACATTTATTTTAAAAATATATTTAACTTTTTTCATCTTTATTAGGTGACTGAATAGCCCAACTTTGTAATTCTGCAGAAGCTCCTACAATAAACACTATTCCACCAACGAAATAAAAGGAAGATCCCATGTAGAAGACATAACTCCATTGAAGAAGGCTTCCTTGCTGTTGAATGATTCCTGATTAATATTAAAAATAGGATAAATTGGAGTAAGTTAAGCGTATTACTTACATTCTTATCTAATATTAAGCCTGCTATATAAGGCGTTATGAATCCTGGAATAGAAGCTAAACCGCTTGTGATGCCATATAACACTCCTGTAATACATGATAACTAGTTATACTCTACATGATCTTGTAATCTATGCTATACTTTAAGTATTATGAAGTGTCTTTTAATAATATACATATAATATGACTATAAAATCGTTTTAAACCTGCAAAATCAGGTGCCAAATCGAATACTATGGCGGCATCTCCTGAAGTGCAGAAACCAAAGCATCCCATCGCAAGAGTCAGTGATATAATAGCTTTAGTGCTGTCGCACCCTAAAAATGGAACTGATAAAATACAGAATGCTGGGCCAAACATACCTAACAAATAAAAATTAATAACATAAGTTTATGTACTTTTTATATATTTTTTAAATATATTTTAATACGTCTTTAGGATTCATTAAAGATTCAAAGATGTTATTTTATACTTACCAATGCTTTCAAGAATTTTTCTGGTGTTAGTTAAACTAAAATATTGTCGTTTTCTTATAAAATCGGCAATAAATCCAGAGAGAAATATTGTTATAGCATCCGAAAAGTAAACTAAAGCATTGATCAAACCATTCTGAAAGATTAAAGTTTGAATTTTTCCTTCTTAAATTGTATTAATATTAACTAATATTATAAATTTTACCTGTTGTATAGGAAAATGAAGCATAATTTTTAAATACGATGGTAGTTTAGCCAATAAAGTATAAAATCCACAGCCCCAACATATTTTTGTTACTGCAATAACCCATAACACTCTGGAAAGTAAAATTTTCTTCCAAGGTATACGCAATTTCTGTTTTGATATAAAAATCAACTTTTAAAATATACACGCTTATACAGGGTGGCTCAAAAAACTATCCATTAAAGCAGCGATTCCCAACCTGTGGTACGCGTACCCCTAGGGGTACGCGATAGGTTGTTTAGGGGTACAGAAAAAAGTTAGTTATTATGGCAGA